GGCGGGCCGGGGGCAGGAGCGGCCGTTAGGGCGGTTGGCGGCGGCGGGGCTCGCGCTGAGGGGAGGGCGCTCCGGGTATATGCGGCGTGCGGCCGCGCTTAATTTTATATTTTATTTATTTGTTTATGTATTTAGGCTTTTTCGCCGGCGGGCGCCTGCGCCGAGCGTGAAGCACCGTTTGGCTTTACAGGGGGTTGCATTCCTGGTCTGCAGCTCCCCTTCCTGGGGAGCCTCCCCGAGCCAGATCGTTTTCCCAAACCAGCGAGTGTAAAGCCTGCAAGGTTTCAATGTTAATATCAAAGCAGGGTGTAAACTGTGCTTTTTGTGTGTGCACTGCTGTGCAGGTACCCTGGGGTTCATTTAAAGTGCCACCACAGGCACAACAAAGCCTGGAGCTCTCCAGTTAGCTCCTTTATCCTTCTGAGTTAGCGCAACTCGTAAACTATTTATGGGGGCTGCTTGCACAAGTCAAAGAGACAGGCTGCTCCCTGAGGGAATAGTTTACCATAAACACTGCTCTTCCTCTGGAAAGCTGAGAGAGGGGGAGAGTGAGGACCCCTGGGGTGGTGGGTGAAGCGTGGCCGCACACCACCAGCCTGGTGCTGCCCTTTGCCCGCGGCTGCCCTGCCAGCCTGGCGCTGCCCTTTGCTCGGGCTCCGCCGGTGGCCGCCCTGGCGCTGCTTTTTGCCTGCTGGCCGACATCCACACGGCCAGAGTCTGCTGACGGCCGAGCCATGAAGCGGTGAGGAAAGGGATGGGTCCCTGCGGGCACCAGGGCTTAGGGGCCATGCCCGGAGCAGTAACCTCCAGGCCTTGCCTCACGGCTTGGCACCCAGCTCTGGGAATGGGGAGGTCCAAGAGGGATCGATGGTTGGCAGTGCAGACTGGGTTCCTGGGTGGAAGCTCAGGCACGGGGTGGGTGCTGCCTCTCCGCCATAGCAAATCCCTTGCGTCTCCGCAGCTTTGCCATCCTCGTGGGCGCAGCCCTGCTCCTGCAAGTCCTTGGGAGCGCCCAGGTAAGGCCCGGTGCAACACGTGTGTATTGTTCCCGTCCTTCATGGGGAAGACCGTTTTGGACAGTCTAGCTGAGAGAGGAAAGCATGGGAGCTCGTGTTGCAACTCCCCCTTTCCTCACCTCTCTCCTCACAGGCGCTGAGCAACACCAGAGAAAAGAAGCCGCCGACCAAGCTGGATTTGAAGGAAATGTAAGAGACACCAGGGCCTCTCTCCTTGGCACCTTTGGCTCCGGCCTTTCTGTCCCTTGCAAAAGGGGCCCGCAGCAATCGGCTGTTTTTGTTTTCCTTCCTCCAGCATCCTGGGCGTAAAAGCCGCGGAGCCTCCAGAAGGCAGCATTCCAGAAATAAAGGTCTTCTCTAGTGAGGCGCAAGCCTGGCAAGGTAAGCGCATTGGAGCAGCCACCCCTGTGCCGTGGCCTGCTCTGGGTTCCCACCCCACGCTGGGTCTCTTGTCCTCCACTGCAGGCCCTGAGGAGGACCTCGATCACCTCCACCATCCCGAAGATAACATTGCTGAGGATGTGGCACATGTGCGGCTCCTAGCTCTGCCCCACCAGGTGCAGAGCGGCCCAGAAGAAGACCGGGACCACATCTACCATGGCCAAGAGGAGGGGATATGACTCCAACTGGTCTAACATCTGACCAGGTGGCTTCTCATTGCAGCCCTGGGATCCTCAGGAAGATCTCCACTCCCTCCCTTGCCTCCAAACCCCCTCAATAAACCTCGCTGCCTCTGCTGCCCACCCCAGCAGACTCTTCATTTTTGCTAGGAATAGGAACCCCTCGAGATGCAGCCTCAGTCTCCAGGGATTGCTCAGGGTCACATGGCCCCAGGCAACCTGCAGTAGCTGCGTGGCAGGAAGACGAGTGCCGGGGTGTGTCGAGGGATTGCCCACCGCTGCTTGCCAGCTCTAGGAAGGGTGGGCTGAGGCCAGGCAAACTCACTCTATGGCTGTCAGAACAACGCTGGGCTCCACCCTAACACATGAGGAGCAAAAGCACCAGGAAAGCCTTTTAATAGCAGCTGCGAGCCGAGCCCCGGTTCCGATCATGTCTCCGAAGGAAAGGCTTCGGTCCTGGCCGGGTCCCCAGCCCCTTGGTGCGGTGCGGTGCGGCGCTGGGGGGCTCTGCCCCTTTCCTCCACGAAGGGGAAGAGTCAGCCCCAATTAGGCACATGGGTCAGTTGAGGAGGCGTGTGGTGAGGGCTGCTGGGCAGCGTGGGGTCCGAAGGGACAAAAGGGACCGTTGTCCCCATCCTGTGCTGGCCAGGACCCCAGGGGGATGCCGCGCTCAGCTGTCGGTGAACTTCGCCTTGCGCTTCTCCACGAATGCAGTCATCCCTTCCCTCCGGTCATTCTGCGAGGAGAGGGAGAAGCTTGAGGGGCTGCTCCCACCTGCTCCTGCCCGCATCCTGCTTTTGAAGCCAGATAGATACTCACGGTGGCAAAGGTGACATAGAAGAGTCTCTTCTCCGTCCTGTTGCCCTCTGTCAGTGTCGTCTCGAAGGCTGAGGAGCAGGAGATAAGTCAGGAGGAGGCCGCGCGTGCCCAGCCCAAGCGTGAGAGTCTCAGCTACACCCAAAGCCTTCCTCCCTCTCCTTGACGTCCCGAATGGGGAGCTTGTCATGGATGACCCCTCAGCCATGGTTAACCCCAGAGCTAGCTCTGGACATGCTTGGCTTGTGGCTGGGAAGCTCCCAGCACGTGTCCGAGGCACCCATGCATGGGTGGGTCAGGGCTGCCCACACATCTCTGGGACCGTAAGCCACAGCCAGCTTCTCTGGTTCTGCCCATGAGTGAAAGGAGTTAGGTATTTCAGAGCTTGCTGTGTATCTGGCTGTGGCTCATTGCACCCAAAGCCCTCGGTATCCCCAAATGTGCCCGTACCTGCGTTGACAGACTCCTTCGCAATGGCTGTCACCAGCTTGGAATTGCTAGCGATCTTCTCCGCACAGCTGATGGCTGCTTCCAGCAACTTGTCCACGGGGAAGATCTTGCTGACGAGACCTAGGAAGGATGGGAGAGAGGTTAGGGGGCAGATGGCTCCCCTCATCCCAGCAGCTCCTGGACACCCACAGGCTGCTGGGCTAGGGGCTGGGCAGCTGGGGACAACCACCTGGCTCCTACCTGCTTCCTTTGCCTCCTGTGCAGAGATCCTGTCCCCAGTGAGGACCATCTCCATTGCGAGCGACTTCCCTACAGCCCTAGTGAGTCTCTGTGTCCCACCAGCTCCTGTGGTTAATCAAGGAAGAGCTGCCACCTCTATCAGGAGAGGTCCTCAAGGAGATGCACGTGGTGCATCTCAAGAAGGTGCTAAGGTGGCTGGGCCGGACACCAGAACTCTGGTATTTCCCTCAGCCCCACATGCCCACCCGCACCAGATCGCGTGGGGACTTCCTCTCATGGGCATTACCTGGAATAGTCCCCAGGAGGATTTCAGGCTGGCCAAACTGCGCCTTCTCCCCGGCGTAAATGATATCGCACATCATGGCCAGCTCGCACCCGCCGCCAAGCTTGGGAGAGGAGAGCTGGGTGTTAGGAGCCAGGGCAGAGCATCCAAGCGCACCCTGGCACCAGGGCAAGGGGACGCAACAGGGTCCTCGCAGGGAACGTGCCCGTGTTAGGACTGACCGCGAAACCATTCACGGCGGCTATGACCGGCTTGCGGACTTTCGACACCTTGTCCCACTCGTCGAGGAAGCCAGTGCTGTAGCACTGCTGGAAAGTGTTGTTCTGCATCTCCTTGATGTCAGCGCCGGCTGCAAAGATAGATGCCACCGAGTGCCCTCAGGGCTTGGGAGCTTCAAAAAGGTCCCCACCAGGCATTCCCAGAAGGCATGCATAAGATAAAAAGTAAAACAGAATGCAGTCCCTCAGACAACATAGAGACGGCTGAGCAGGACCCCGGGGAGGCGGTGGGGACCTGCTGCGGTGCTGCGGGGCATCATGGCACATCCTCCCAGAGGAGGGTGGGAGGATTTGCCATCCTCCTCACCTGCGAAGGCCTTCTCACTGCCGGTGATGACGATGGCGCCCACCTGGGGGTCGCTCTCGAAGGCCTCCAGCGCCTGCTTCACCTCGCGTATGAGCCCCGCGCAGAGGGCGTTGAGGGCCTGGGGCCGGTTCAGCTGGATGAGCCCCACATTCTGCTTCACCCCCTTCTTCTCTGCCACGATGTACTGGAAGGGGGTGCCTGTCGCAGCGAAGCGAAACGGGAAACAAAAATTTACCGCCCTCATAACAATGATAATGATGATAATATCGTGACAAGCGTGCCCGCGCGCCCGCTAACG